CATGCGCTCAGTGCTGCTGCTTGCCTACAAGCCCATGGAAGGAAACTTTGAAGAGGTAGTGCAGGACTTGGGCTCAGACTTCTTGCATACAATATGACTCCTTGCCAGTGTTGAGTGGCAAAGGGTAGTCAAGTCCAGTGGTGAGAGTCCTTCCTCAGCCACAATCTATGTCCATTAAGTTTTTTCAAAATCCTCTCCCCTACCTTGTCGATCCTGAAATCAAATAGGCTTCATTTCTGGGAAATTATAACCAATGAGCTGTGTTGGCCAGTTTTAGGGTGTGATGGGGAGGGAAAGGGGTAGGACTGAGAGGTAATCTCTAAGGTGGCCATTATTATACACAGGGCTGCACCTTCTGCGGGTAGGGCCTTGGCTTCTGACCAGAAGCTTGATGAATCTCAGAACAGTTCCATGTACACTGCATTTATTTTCAGATTTCTTGTTTATTTTCAGATTGCCCGAGACTTTAATCCCAACTGGATGAGTGCAGTGGAAATCTTGGATGATGACAATTTCCTGGGAGCTGAAAATGCCTTTAACTTGTTTGTGTGTCAGAAGGACAGGTGCGTGGCCTTTGCAGAAACATGGCTAGGGCTGGGCCTCTGGGTCTGTGAGCTGAGCATGTTGGGTGCTGTATGAGGTTCAAGTGTGGCCCTTGATGGATAGAACTTCCTTTCTAAGACTAAGAGGCTTTGTAGACTACCCTCCAGATGTTCTTCCCGGGATATTCAGCACTAGTATCTTGTCAAACATGGCCCTGCATTGAGGCCTCCTTAGGGAGCTGGGCTCAGAAAGTGACATCTCATGTCTTTCAGTGCTGCCACCACTGATGAGGAGCGGCAGCACCTGCAGGAGGTTGGTCTCTTCCACCTGGGCGAGTTTGTCAATGTGTTCTGCCATGGCTCCCTAGTTATGCAGAATCTGGGCGAGACTTCCACCCCTACACAGGGCTCAGTGCTCTTTGGCACAGTCAACGGCATGATAGGTAAGATCACTCCTATAGGGCACACTCAGCTGCAGCAAGCTTGTCCGTGGTTTGTCTAGGCTTTAGAGTGCTCTATAGCTCACTGCCCCTTTTTTTCTTCAGGGCTGGTGACCTCACTGTCAGAGAGCTGGTATAACCTCCTTTTGGACATGCAAAACCGACTCAATAAGGTCATCAAAAGTGTGGGCAAGATTGAACACTCCTTATATCCTTCCTGCCCAGAGTACTTGTCTTCTGGGAAGCATATTCCAGCATATGGAGAAATCTATATTTGTCACAAGCTGTTTCTGGAAATGTTTTACTAGGTTTTTGTACAGAACAGGGTTGTTTTTGTTTTTAACTTTATGTGTCATAAGGGCGGGAGTCAGCCTCAGGTATCGTTCCTCAGGAGGTGTCCACCGTGGTTTTTGGGACATTATCTCTTCCTGGACTCTGGAGCTCACTGTGTAGGCTAGACTAGTTACCAGTGAGCCCAGTGGTCCTCCTGTCCCCGGTTGTTCCCCAGGCTTAGCTTTTTACATGGGTGCTAGGGGTCAAACTGAGGTCCTCATGCTTGTGCAGCAAGCACCTTACTAACTCAACTGTTTCCTCAGCCTGTCTGCAATTTTTGTGTAAAAACTCCAGAAACTAAAGGATCAGCCCTCCAGGGACACTAGAATTCCTTCCTGTGTGGAAGCAGTTCAGGTCCTCCCAGGCAAGGCATGAAAGAGCTCCTGCTTATGTGACTGGCTCAGGGAAGGAAGGTCTGGGTGTTTTGCTCACATACAAGACTTTGGGTAGCCTGCTGTCTCCCTAAGCATTAGTTTTCAGCGGTCTTAAGGCTAGACTTGATGGGTGATATGGATATCAAATTCACCTGTTTTTGAGACCATCCATATTTGTCTGGCTTTGCCATAACTTTTTTTTTTTTTTAATTTTTTTTTAAAGATTTATTTATTTATTATGTATACAGCATGTATGACTACAGGCCAGAAGAGGGCACCAGATCTCGTTACAGCTGGTTGTGAGCCACCATGTGGTTGCTGGGAATTGAACTCAGGACCTCTGGAAGAGCAGTCAGCGCTCTTAACCTCTGAGCCATCTCTCCAGCCCTGCCATAACTTTTTAAAAGTAACCCTAACTGAGAACCATTGGATTAAGCAATAATTTTACATTTCTTTCAATTCCAAAACTGTCCAAAAGTAGTATGAGTTGTAGTAGAAACAGATTGTTTCCCATTCCACTTCTGATTCTTTTGCTCAGAGGTGGGGATGAGTGAGATCAGGGATGTTTGCAGATAAACTACATTCTTTAACTCACCTGTCCACCTGGAGATCTTTTCACACTGAGCGGAAGACAGAACCAGCCACAGGCTTCATCGATGGTGACCTGATTGAAAGTTTCCTAGATATCAGCCGCCCCAAGATGCAGGAGGTTGTGGCAAACCTTCAGGTGAGCTGTACTGTGTTCATGCTAGGCCTTGTAAACAGGTGTTATTCCTGGAGACTTGATGACTCCAGGTTTTTCTCCTAGAATTCATGGGGCTGGTGGCACTTTGTGGCCCTCCATAATGCTCACCACCTAAAGAGGAATCTAAGGAAAATGTATAGTTGAGGCTTGTGAGTGGATAGCTGTGTATTGGGAACTCTTCTGAGTTAGCCCCTCCACTTTAGCAAGAGGCCTGGGATCTCTGGCAAGACCAGAAGGTAGAAGGTGGAGTTAAGTTCCTACAGGAAGTAAGCTTTACCAGTTCTGGAGTTCCGGAGGGCTCACCAGAGAGGGTGCTCCTAGGAGGTCATATTCAGTAGTGGAAGACTCTGAGCCAACTTGACTGACGAGATCCCTAAGGGCTAGGGTCAGGTTTTTGGTGAAACTTTTTTCCTTGTTGGAGCAGTGGTGGCCAGTGGGCATCTCCCAGCCTGCTGAGGTGAGAGTACCTTCTTGTCTACATGGCCCTTCTCTCTGTTTCGTTTCAGTATGATGATGGCAGTGGTATGAAGCGGGAGGCAACTGCAGACGACCTCATCAAAGTTGTGGAGGAGCTAACTCGGATCCATTAGCCAAGGACAGGGGCTCTTTTCCTGACCCTCCCTCAAGGCACTGCCCTCCTGTCCTCCCCTCCCTTACCCACCCTTGTTTTCTTGGCATGGGAGGCCTTTCCCTAAGCCTCCTGACCCTAGAGCCACAGCTGACCTGTGTGGAAACAGGGCTTTTTATAACTAAAACCAGTTCACTAGAGACCTAGGAATGGGCTAAAAGTGGAATATTTTCTCCCTGGATTTTTACCAGCCATCACCTTGGACCACCACGCCTTGAATGGTGTTGCCAGTTGGCTCCTTCTGGGGAGGCCTTTTGCCGCTCTTTGGCCAAGAAGCAGCTCTGTGCACGTATGTGTGTGATACCCACACTCATGCTTTGTCCTCTACTGTCTTATGTAGGTTGTGGGTCTGGGGAGGTTGAGGTAGGGGGAAGAGGGTAGAGAGGGTTCCAATGTCTTGAAGTGAGAGCTTCCTTTTACTTTCTTCTCTTGCCTCTGAGAACATCAGCCTGAAGGCCTATCAGGCCATGGGCTACCTGAGTGGAAACCTGGGATGGTGGATAATTCCCAAGCCACAGCCCTTTTGTCTCGGGGAACTCCCTTCTTCACAGAGAAGGAGGTAGGGGGCTGTGAATTGGTTGTTAGTTTCTGAATTTTACCAAATAAAGTAGAATCTAAGAAAAAAGATGTGTTTGTTTCTGCTTTTCTCCCTCTGCCCAGCTGTCCAGCATCCCAGGTATATTCTGTATTGGCTGCAGATCTAAGTGGCATCTTCTGTGTGGTAGCTGCAGTCATAGATCTTGGTTCTCTGATAGTAGATGTCTGTACCCCTCCTTGTTCATGATTGGTTTGAGTGGGATTCCAAGGATGGTAGAGTGAATTCTAGAAGCAAGGCGATTATCTTCATTGTTTAGATAGCAGTGAGGCAGGCTTGAGGCCACTTGGGCTACCTTTCCTGTCTTCATTGTACAGGCACTGTGTGTATAATGCACAGCCAGCCCCAAGTGCTATTCTTTTCCTACTCAGTTTAAAAAAAAAAAAAAAGATTTTTATTTTATTTTTTGAGACAGGGTCTTACTGTGTAACTCTGGCTGGCCTTGAACTCAGAAGTCCTGCCTCTGCCTCCCAAGTGCTGGTATAAAGGCATGCTCTACCACACCCACAAGATTGTATGTATGTGTGTATATGTGGATTTGTACACATTAGTGCAGATGGCTGTGGAGGCCAGAAGAGGGCGCCAGAAGAGGGCATCACATCCTCTGGAGCTGCAATTAGAGGTGGTTGTGAGTTGCTTCCTGTAGTTGCTAAGAACCAAACTGGTCCTCTGCAAGAGTAGTGCATATTCTTAACAGCTGAGCCATCTCTCCAGCTTCTCCTGTTGCATCTTATTTTATTCCTCTGATTGGGTCCAACAGAGCCTGCAGTGTCTTTGGCTGGAAAGTATAGGAATAGGACATATTTTGAGAGTCACCTTTTGGTCCTGTGTGGATTTAGCCTATAATTCTGCCTTTGGGAATCAGGGATGCTCTGTCCCAATAGTAGAGTCTTAATCGTGACCATACTTACTGGGTGGTGGTGGTACATACCTTTAATCCCAGCCCAGGCAGGCAGATCTCAGTTCAAGGCCAGTCTGGTCTACACAGAGAAACCCTGTTTTGAAAAACCAAAAGACCAGTCTTTGATAAAGTATCAGGAATATTGGGGTTTCAAGTTAAGCTACTGTTTTGAGAGAATCTAGCTTGAAAACAAAAGGGCAAGGAAGTACCCCAGCATTGGGCCTGCTGGTAAGTCTGTCTCTGGAGAGACTTCATTGCTTCATTGACATCCTCTTCTTACTCTGCCAGGATTTTTGAGAGTTAGGGTTAGGGGTCTTTAGAAAAAGTAATCAACATATCAAAAGCTGCAGTTTGAATTTGGAACTGATTAAAATTCTTAAAAAATGAAGTTTAAATATGAAAAAGGCCCATCCCCAATACCAGAGACCGGTTTTAATGAACCAGACAAGCAATAACCTCCAGTTTGTGATTATCATTGAAATTGAATTCTGCGATGACAGGTTGACGATGCTAGTAGTGGTTCTGTCTTGATTCATTTTGGTTTTTTGATATTTTAATGGGGCCTTTCTTACTTTGTAGCCCTGGCTTGCCTGGAACTCAACAGAAATTCACATTTCTCTTTTTGAATACTAGGACTAAAGGTGTGCACCACTGCGCTTAACCTGGCAGGTTTATTTTGAAAGGGTGGCTTGAGATCGTCTCATACTATAGTCCTGGTTGGTCTGTAATGTAGCCCAGGCTGGCTTTAGACCTCCCAAGTGTTGGAATACAGGCCTAGAGCACCATACTCACCTCTGATGCTGTGTGTGTGTGTCTGTGTGTCCTTTTTTGAGACAAGGTCTTGTTTTGTAGCCTAGGCTGGCATTGGTTCTGGCTCTGCCTCCCAAGTGTTTAGAGTGCTAGAATCATGGGCATGCACAATCACTAGCTATCCTGGGCTTTTTAGTGGGTTGACCTACTACCACAGATAAACTGCCTTGATCATCATCAGTGGTCTGTCTTGAAATTGGAATCTAGAGTCCTTGCGGTGTTTTGCTCTTGTGTTTCCTGCAACCATTCTGCTCAGGTTCTGGGTCCTTAGGCTGGATTGTTACCACCTTACCTTCATGCAAAGTCAAACTTACTCCACCAAGGTTCCACATCCAGTTCTGAGTAATGTGGTGCTGTCCTGTTTGAGGACACTTCTATCCCTTACAGAGACAGAGGAGGTGGTAACGACACTTTATTTAGGGATGAGAACTGAGGTTGAACATGGCTGTAACGTGATACATGAGAGCTTGACAATTGATCTACGTCTCCAGTCTCATTTATTTATTTATTGTATATGTTCACTTGAGATTGAATTCTAGAAATCTTTGGATGCTGACATTCTGCCTGCACACTCCCAAACTCCCTCTTAAACACCATTAATCACTTCTTAGGGTAAAAGGTCATCTTCAGAGCTCTGTTCCAGCCAACTGGACAGACCCTTCCATGCAGGCACTGATGAGCTATCCTTTCTCCAAGCCTCCAAAGGAGGGGTCTTTGGGGAGAGTACTAAAACACTGATTCACATCACATGGCCATTTGGAAGGGTGTCAAACCAGAGGCCTGCATTCTGCAGCCAACATCTTGGATCTGCCACTCAATGAAGGGTCTTTTTGTTAAGCCAGAAGCCACAGAAGTGGGGAGGAAGCACCGTGCAAACGAACATCATCAGTTAAGGAATCTGACCAAACTAGTCCTTGAAGATGAGCAGATACGTGAAAGACTCAACTGAAGCGCCAGGACCAGACAAGGCGAGGAAGAACAAATGAAACTGAAGGAGCCAACAGTTGACATGAGTGGCAAGGTGATGCCGGAGGACTGAGGACACTCTAGGGGAAATAAATGCTGGGCAAGCTCAGGAAAGTGCTTGGGGTTCTCCAGTTGGAATTTCCTCCTTTGCTATATCCAGAATTCTGCACTGCAGAGATTAGAATTTTGCTCTTCCACCTGCCGTGGATGGGTGTGGAGCAAACCCTCTCGGAATGAGTCACTGCAGAGAGGGTGTGGGGCTCCCTAAAGTACAGCAAGGAAGAGCACCTAGTGGCCATTGCATGCTCTTGTAATGACAGTAGCAAGTGCAGTCTGCATGTTCTAGGCCAGAAAGATGCCCTAAGGAATCTGAAGGTCCTTAGGATTCTGGATGTGTACATATACAGAAGTCACATTCATCTTTGGCAATATGCGTATTGAGAACTTGACTAGATTATAGGATGGGCCCAAACAAGATGATATTCAGGCCCCAATGTGAATGTCTGCGAACATCAGCCACGTGGGTTGAGGTAGAGAGATGGCTGGCAATTTGTGTTTTCATACCATCATCACAGAACTTGTATTAGTTGCTTGTCTTATGGCAGAATACCCCCATAAAAGCAAGGAAGGGAGGGTTTATTTTGCTCAGTTTGAAGGTGCAGCCATCATGGTGAGGAAAGCATAGAACCAGGAGCTTGGGGCTGCTGGTCACACTACACTTGCAGTCAAGAAGCAGAGATGAATGCCAGTGCCCAGCTTATGGTCTTTTTGTTTGCTTCAGCCCAGCCATACTCAGGGTGGGTCTTTACAACTCAATTAAATCACTCTGGAGATAGTTCTGACACACGCAAAGGTTCATTTCCTAGGTGCTTCTAAATCCAGTCAAGTTGAAAACAAGGATTAGCCATGAAAACAACAACCAGAAGCGCTTGAGGCTTTCCTCTGATGGCAAACTAAGGGAACCAATGAGCATCCAGCACCCAAGTTAACGTTTGGCCCAGCAACTGAAAGTGAAGTGTCTGTGGGAAGGCAGCTGGCATCCAGGCCACAGTGTTCATCTGTGGCCACCAATGCCAAGGATCTTGGGATCAGCCTGAGGCAGAACCAAGTGGACTTGTTTGGGAAGTGCATTTTCAGACAAGTGTAGTTAGTTTTTAAAACTAGCTTAGCTGATTTTTAATGACAGTGAGTTTCCTATTCCTGGGAGTTTTTACACAAAAGCATGACTAATCCAGCCTGGGTGGGGTTAGGCAGGGTCCTTGCTCCAGAACAAGGTAAAATGTGGACCTCCGTTCAGTTTCCCCTCAGCTAGATCATTCTCGGTCCTATTCATCACTTGGCTCTACATTTATCGACCTAAACCTCTTTCTGGGCTGGGCCAGCTGCAAAGGAGGCCAAAATGGAGCCTTTCTAGTTCTGTGTCCCTGGCTCCACTGCCCACTGCCCACTGCCCACTGCTTTCTTACCTTCCAAGTGGGCCAGGAAGCTGTCCATCCAACCACTTGACTCAAGGTGGTCTGTGGTTCAAAACAGGCTAATGCCCTTTGGATGGGGAGCAGACTAACCCACCAACACATGTATTCAGACCAGCTGGTCGGCTTGGGGAGAGTCAAAACTGCCTAGTCTCAAGAGACCCAGTGTCCTGGGTTTGAGTGTTCCCAAGTCTCACCTTCTGAGAATACAGATGTATTGCGTTCCACAGAAACCCAAAAACCTTGTTCCTGAAGTGTCTTTCCAACCCAGGCTTTGGTCTGAAGCCCTCAGTCATTCTGTGGAAGGCGACTCCCAAACCCAGGCAGGGGGTGTGGGCCGAGGGTGAAACCCCGCCCTCGGGGTCCCTGATCTTTGCTCCCGCCCCGGGCTCCACGCCTCCCGCAGAGGCACCGGCGGGCGGCGCTCCTTTTGTGTGTTTCTCTCCAAGGTGCAAGGACCCCCACCCCCTGCCTCTCCAGGCAGTCCTCCCCCAAACCCTAGCCCTCTTCTCGGCGTCCTGATCCTCCTGCCAGCTGGGGGGATTGGATCGCTCCTAGGAGGAGGGACAAGGTCGGCAGCCCCTTCCCTGGTGCGGGGGACCTGAGCCCACTGGAGTCCAGGAGCGCTGCTGCCAGTCATGTGGGCTGGACTGTTGCTCCGTGTTGCCTGCATCGTGATCCTGTTGCTGGGGTCTTCGGCCCGAGGCTACACTGGGAGGAAGGCGCCCGGGCACTACTCGGCAGAGAGGTAAGAGCCCAGCGCCTCTCAGCGGCCCAGCCACCGAGCGCCACGGCGTGGAGCTGGCAGAGGGCAGCCGCAGGACCAGTATCCTCTGTGGTGTGGGCGCACCAGAGGGTCTGGACAAAGAGCAGTTTGTGCCAGTTGGGTGGCCCTGGCTGGGGACTGCTCTGGCTAGGGCATATGGAAGATGGGATCCCGGCTCCGTGTGAGTCTAAGCACTAAGTGAAGGCGTTGACCCGGTGGCTAGGGGACCCCAGCACATGCCGTCTGGTCTCCACTGTCTGGCTTTCTTCTTTGGCAGTGCGGGGCCTCCTTCACTTCTGCACCCATTGCCTTGGGATTGGAGGTTTTTCTCAGTGTCCCTTGCTCTGCGCACTCCGTGGACCTTGGAGCCACCGGTGGCTCAGGGTTATGCTTTGGTTTCTGCGCATGTGTGCACAGGCCGAGGAGGCGGGAGGCGTGTCTTTCTGAGCCCTGGAGTCCTCCCTAAGTGTGTCCCAGTCCTCCACCACAGTAGGGTGGTGAGGGAGTGGTGATCGTGTGTGCGTGATGCTCATAGCAAGGGAACACGGTGTCAGCGGATAGTCTGGCCCACAGCCACATCTTCCCAGGGGCGCACAGCAGGGGCAGCCCTAAAGGAAGGGCTTATAGCTCAACACGTGGGTTCCGCAGACCCCTTGCCAGTTCCTGCCGACTGAACCAGTCCAGCGCAGGCTCAGTCTACCGCCATCTGCCTCCCTGGCACCACCACACGTGAGAAGCGCCTTAGGGCTTTCTGGTGGGCGCCCCTGCCTACCTGAGGGTGGAACTCCCCCAGTTTCCCCAGGCACCCACCCTACCATTTACCGCTTTGATGGCACCTCATGTCCCTTTCAGAGTTCCCTTTGGCTTGGCTGTTTAGCTCTTTTGAGGACCCCAGCTGCCGGACCCTCCTTGGCTGTTACATTCATCATGCCTATGTGTGTGACGTCATTGTCAGGCCCTGATTGGTCTTCTCTGGTTTTGACTTCTGAGAAGAAAAAGGACTTGGCCCCAGAGACAGTCCCCTCTACTGTCATGGTCCCCTAAGGGTCCCACATTTGGCACAGATTATTAACCCTATCTTGTCCTATATCCTTTGTGTCCAATACAGGGACAGACACAGAGAGGGTGCTCTGGCTGCTGGGGTGAAATTCCCTTCAGCTCTGACTGAGAAAGTGGGAAAAGTCATCTGATGACTATTGCTTTGATTGGATTCATGAATCTTGCTCCAGCCCTTGCTTAAGGAGTTCTAGTCCCTGCAATGTCCCCTCTGCCTGGAATGCCCCCTCCTTCCTGCTTTTCATACCAGTTCTCTGGTCTTTTGCTTGCAGCAGGGAAGCTGTCCTTCTTCGGACCCTCTCCTGGCCCTCTTCAAGGCTCCATGAGCCCTCCTAGGGTCACTGTTATGCTCAGTTCCCATCACCTGGATCCTATCTGTCCTTTGAAAGTGAGGACAGTAGCACATTCCCGGCTTTACTGCCTGCCGTTTTTGGACACCGGCTCCAGATCACCTGATACTCCATAGGGTGTTCTTACTTGGGCGGACCCTTCTGGGCCTGGCCTTGAGTACCTCGTTGGCATCCTAGGGGATGCCACCCAGACCTTCTGCTTTCTTCCTTTTCTGGCTTCCCATTTATTGATCAGGTATTAGGTATTGTAGATGTTGAAGGGAACAGATAAGACGCTCTTGTCCTCAGGGAGTAAAGAGGATATAAACAATGAAGCTTTTATCTATTCTCTTATGCTTTTTGTCTAGTCTCGCTCCCAGGAGGGATTGTGGATCATTTAGAAGTTTCCCATTGCTTTTCCTTGGGGGTCCTGAGAACCCTGTCAGCTAACTTACAGACCAGTGGATGACTTGGGAGCTTCTGCTACTCTCTTCATGCAGATTGTGGAGAGTGCTCTTTTCTTGCAGACGTCGTCTGGGCCCCCATGTCTGCCTTTCCGGCTTTGGGAGTGGCTGCTGCCCTGGCTGGGCCCCTTCCATGGGCAGTGGGCACTGTACCCTACGTAAGTACCCATTCCTGTGACCCAAGCCTCCTCAGCACACACCAGTGCTGTGCATTGCCGGTGCCCAGTCCCTCACCTGCATTTTTCCCCTCAGCCCTCTGCTCCTTTGGTTGTGGGAGTGGCATCTGCATCGCCCCCAATGTCTGTTCCTGCCAGGATGGAGAGCAAGGGGCCACTTGCCCAGGTAACCAGGATGGACAATGGCTGATGGGGGATCACCAAACTCACACGAAGATTATGTGCCTGACATTGGGTATTTGAGATAGGTTCTAGCGTAGCACCTTCAAGACACCCGTTAGGTAGGCATTTCCGTACCTCTTTGACTGATGAGGCTGAGACCTAGAAGTATTGGCTTTTCCTGGGTTCCTTGATGCATTAGCTACATTTGTTGCAGCTGTAACAAAACAGCTAAGCAAAGCAGCTCAGAGGAGGAGAAGTTAATTTGGGCTTATAGTCCATCAGGGCAGAGAAGGCACAGCACCAGAGGAGCGAGGCAACTCACCGTTAGGACGCACCAAGAGTTGAATGCCATTGCTTGGCTCAATTTCTCATTTGTATTCCGTTGGGCTCCCAACCTGTGGAATGTTTGCCTTCCACAGTTAGAGTGGGTCTCCCCATCTCAACCCAGTCTAGAAATTCCTTCAGAGACATGCCCAGAGGTTTCCTCCCGTTTGTCTCAAGATCCTGGGAAGTTGACAATCAATATTAACCATCCACATGGCTAGTAAGCAGTAGACGTGGACGGGAAATCTGTTTGCTGTCCCTCTGCCAACACCCCCCCTGCAGCAGAATTCAGGAGGAGCCTTAGGACATCTGAGAGGCCAGACTGCCACCTGCGATGCGGCTTTGTTGACATGGCTCACTTCCGTGCTGTGTGTTTTAGAAGCCCATGGATCCTGCGGGGAGTATGGCTGTGATCTCACCTGTAACCACGGTGGCTGCCAGGAGGTAGCCCGAGTGTGCCCTGTGGGCTTCTTGATGACTGAGACAGCCGTTGGTATCAGGTGTGCAGGTGAGAGGCCTGGGATGGGGAGGGGGAGGGTGGAATGGCATCTCCTTCCTGAGCCAGCTAGAGTCCAGCACCTGAAAGAGAGGGGCAGGAAAACATGCAACCCAAGGAAAACATACTATCTTCCTATTATTTCACATGTATTTATAGGCAGGAGCAGAGTTGGGATTGAGGTGACAGGTGACCAAATAGTGGCTGCTATCGGGGAGTTTCCAAATATGAGGCAGAGGGACAAGGATAAAGACAGTCCCAATGTAAGAGGGGCAGTGACTAAGGAAGTCCAGGGTGCTGGGTTCAGAGGAACGTGGAGCCAGGATTGGAGTCAGCAGACATTGAAAACTGAGGGAACTAAAACTCAGTAACTATTTTGTCAAAGTATTATTTGTTTTCTTTTTTCAGTTGTGGGATGGTTTAAAATGTTTTTATTATTGTTTTATGTGTACAGGCATTTTGCCTGCATGAATATATACCATGTGTGTGGAGTGCCCGAAGAGGACAGAAGAGGGCATCAGATCCCTCGGAACTGAGTCCCAGCTGGTTGTGAGCTTCCATGGGGGTGCTGGGAACTGAGCCCGGGTCCTCTGCAAGAACAAGTGTTCTCAATAGCCGAGGCATCTTTCCAGCTCCTATTATTTATTTTCTTGATTTTAAGTCACTGTAGGCAGAGTGTGTGACCTTTATCAGAGATGGTTGCTATGACCAATTTCTTGTCCATCTCTTCAGAGGCAAAAGCCTGGTTGGAGGTGTTTTGTGTTTGTTTGTATATGTGGTATATGTACATGTGCAGGTACATGTGTCCACAGACATGTGGAGGCCAGAATCAACATTAGGGGTCTCCCTCCATTGCCCTCTACCTTAGTTTTTGAGTCAGGGTCTCTCACTAAACCTAGAGCTCATTGATTTGTCTGGGCTGACCAGTGAGTCTCCACACCCTGCATCCCCCAAAGCTGGGGTACAGGAGGCATGTGCTGTTTGTGCCCAGCTTTCATGTGGATTCTGGGGAACCTGAGCTCAGGGCCTCAGGTCTGCACAGCAGGCCCTTTACCTGCTCAGCCATCTGCCTTGTCCCTTTTTGGAATGTGTTTGTTTGTTTATCTTGAGAGAGGCTCAAACTATGTAGACCAGGCTGGCCTCAAACTCACAGAGATCCACCTGTCTCTGCTTCCCAATGCTGGGGTTTTAAGGTGTGCGCCACGATGCTGCCCTTTTTGAAGTTTTAACAGTAAACTTTACTGCTTTCCCACCGACTAGTAAAGTAAATGAGAACTCATTTGGAAGCATGTGAAAGTAAGTAGAAAGGTGAAAGTACATGTTTCCTTGAGTCCCACTCAGAGTGTTCCCACCAAAATGAAGTGTTTTCTCTGTTCCTTTATCTGGGCGTGTACATGCTCTTGTGTGTAGATGTAATCGGGGCTGCAGTTACTAGAGTTTTGTTAAACTGAATTTTAGCGTAGTATTCAAAGTAACAGGTTTCATGATGGCATTTTCTCCCCCTCCCCCGTTTATTTATGTATGTGTGTTATGACACGCATGTGGAGGACAGTGGTGGCTGGTGGGCTCAGTGCAGTTCCAGAGAGCCCAGCAGCTATTCCCAAGCCCGCAAACCCTTCCCCGCTCAGAAAAGGCTCTCAATGCTCCTGATTCTCCTAACCCCACTCTCCCCCAGGATACACCTGCTGTGGCAGGTTATTCCTGAGCAGGGTGTATGTCACCCTCTGGGCCTTGGAGCCACGATGTCCGAGGCAATCAGTAGCCCCTCCCTGAGTCTCCTGCTCACACCTGGTGTTCAGTGAACATCTAGTGGAATGACACTGTTCATTGGGTCCTGTCATTTTGGGGACCTGAAGGTCGCCCCATAAGGACCATCAAAATGGTTCTCCTCAGTCATGCTTTCCCACCGTTTAACCTGGGTTAAGAGTAGGGGCCAGTCCCTCTGTCCTTTTATCTCCTCTTTCTGGGGCTCCCCTCATGGCCATGGCACTTTGCTGATTGATGCTCCATCTTCCACACATGACCCCTCAAAAGTGGGGTCACTTTTCCTGGAGTCACAGCCACAGTTAGAGTAAGGATTTTCTTTTCTCAGACATTGACGAGTGTTTAAGCTCATCTTGTGAAGGCCACTGTGTGAACACGGAAGGTGGTTTCGTGTGCGAATGTGGGCCAGGCATGCAGTTGTCTGCTGATCGTCATAGCTGCCAAGGTGAGTGGGGCAGAGGTGTCGGGAGTGGTTTCTAGGCCCTGCCAGCTCCCGAAAGATACATTCTCTGTGCCATAGTCCTCTGAGAAGGATGCTGTGTAATTCCTGCTTTAGTGGGGAAAAAATGAAGGTTCACCCACATCCATTCTGTTTGTAAGAGATGGACTTAGGGTTTGAGTCCATCATGGTGGACTCTTTTGTTTTGTTTCTTTGAGACAGAATCTCCCTACATATCCCTGGCTGTCCTGGAACTCACTTTGTAGACGATGCTGGCCTTGAACTCACAGAGATCCACCTGCCTTTGACTCCCAAGTGCTGGAATTATAGGCGTGTGCCCCTATGCCCATGCCCAGCATTCATGGTGGACTTGTTCTGAACCAAGATGCTCTAAAATCTTCTGCTTCTGTCATAGGAAGGATGGGGATGAAGGAATGGTCCCAGGGAGAACAAGGGGCAAATGCCTCCAGGGCAGGAGGTACCAAGATGGAGAAGGGAGGGATGCAGGCAGTGAGTGGGAGGGACCTGGAATAGTCTCTGTCACTTTGTGTGTTTGTAGCTTCCTCCAGCCTTGGTGCTGGGCCCGGCTCTGGGGGTGTCTGTAGGTCTGTAGGACCCACACACCCTCCAGTCTGGTGGTTTGGGAAAGAAAAAGACGGGGACAAGGTACTAGGGCTGCGGGGGCCCAATGAGAAGACGTTGTCTTCCTCTTGTTTTCCTTTTTGCAGACAGGGCGTTATTGTGCAGCCCAGCCTGACTTCCAGCTTGCCTTCTCCTCCCTAGTACTGGGATTATAAGATACTCCATCACACCTGGCAGGGTGCGATCTTTTACAATAGTCGTCCTTTCCAAGAGACTTTGATTTGCACGGACATGTGAGGAAGATTCTCATCACAGTCACACAACAAGGCAGAGGAGACAAAATAAGCCCCTTGAGTCTGTGCTATTATTTTCTCTGCATGTGAAATTTCAACAAGTCCAAGAATCTTGAGCACTATGGTATGAGTCTCAGGTCCTCTCTCCCCTCCCCCTCCTCTGCCCACCCTAGAGAGCCCTGCTTTCCTAGTCTGCTTGAGTTGCTGCTTAGACCACAGGAATTTGTTCTCAGCCCCTGGAGAGCCACCGTCTAAGGCCAAGGTACTGGCTAGCTTTGCGTGGATTTCTCTGGTGTGAAGAAGATGCTCTTGCTGTGTCCGCTCAAAATGTTGAGAGGGAGGGACACAGGGTGCTTTGATGACTCTTCTAAGGGCATTAATCCATCATCATTAAGGCCCCACCCTATGACATCATCCAATCTTAATTATCCCCCAAAGCCCTACCTCCAAAGCACTTGCACCTTGGGAAGTTAGCTTTCAGCATGAACTTTCAGTCTCGAGGCCCTGCCCGCATGCCTCTCTCAGCCACATGTCCTACATGTGCATCTATACAGGCTTATTAATGACCAAATGCTCCCATGCTGGGTACCAGGCTAAGCACTTCCATCCATACAGTTAGGAAGTAGACACTGTTTATCTCCATCTCACTGAGAAGAACACTGAGGCTTCACACAATTAAACAATTTACCCACAATCACATTGGAGCTGCGGGGGTCTCATCCTGGTTGCTTTTCCAATTTCTTTTCCCTGAGCAGCTGATTGCTCTTAAGGCTCTTCCCACATCAGGTGAGCAGACCAGATAGATCTGTTTTTGTTGTTGTTGTTTTTAACTGCTGCTTGGTTCTCTGTGGTGCAAGTGTCCCATAGCTTATGAGTTCTTCTGCTGACAAACAGGGAGGTTATCTCTAGTTTAATTTTCTTTTCCTTTTTCCCCAGCTTCAAACAGCCTGGGTGAGTTTCTATGTGGGAGGCTCTGTAGAGGAAAGTTTTTAAGTCCACAGAAGACTTCTTTTCTGTGCAGACAAGAGGGAAAGACATTCGGGGTAGACAGACTATGAGTCCAAGGGGAGGACCATAAGAATGGGATGTGTTAGCTGGGCGGTGGTGGTACACGCCTTTAATCCCAGCACTTGGGAGGCAGAGCCAGGCGGATCTCTGTGAGTTCCAGGCCAGCCTGGTCTACAGAACAAGATCCAGGACAGGCACCAAAACTACACAGAGAAACCCTGTCTCAAACAAACAAACAAGAATGGGATGTGTTTAGAAGATGTGGGAAAATAAACAAGGTGGTGGCTGGGACTGTCTGCCCATAGCTGTGTTTGTTTTGTTTGTTTATTTTTCTTACATTGGAGTGTGCATGTGGGGGGCAGAGAACAACTTTTGGGAGTTCTTTCATGGTGTGTGGGTCCCAGGGATCTAACTCATCAGGTTTGGAGGGAGGTACCTTTGTCTGCTGAGCCATTTCACTGGCCCCATAGCTATGTTTAACGGTCTCATGAATGCTGCTTATTGTGGGTGAGGGCCCTGAGAGGTCTGGAGCCGAGAGTGGCCCATTGCAGATGACCTTGGGGGAGGACCTCCTAGACACTATTATGGGATGATGGTTCAGGAAGAACAGAGGCAGAGGCAGAGGACTCAGGGAGGCTGCATCTGTTCTCCAGCCTAGAGACAAGGTGGCTTGGGCTGGGACAAGATGGTGAGGGCAGAGAAGTTTGGAAAGATGGCCCCCATGGCCCTGAGTGGAGTGAGAGAGGGGGATGGGAGGAGTTTAAACCCTGTTGAAAGAAGGGTGCCAGCTTTGTCTTCTCCCCTCACAGACACCGATGAGTGCCTGGGAACTCCCTGCCAGCAGAGATGTAAGAACAGCATTGGCAGTTATAAATGCTCCTGCCGTGCCGGCTTCCACCTCCACGGCAACCGGCACTCCTGTGTAGGTGAGATCTGCAGCCTGCAGTTGATACACTTAGGCTGTTAATCAGGAAGACGGACAGGTCAGTCTGGAATCTGGGAAGACCAACATTTGGACCTTCCGGTCCTGTGGCTCCTCTGCTCAGAGTACTCCCATCCCATGCTTGACATCGCTCTGCATGAAAGACCCCAAGCTGGGCTCTCCCTGGCCATGTCTTCTTTCATTCTGCTGTATTCTCATGGCTACTCTCCCAGATACACATAAGGACTCTTCTCTGCTCACCCATTTTCTAGGCTGCCTTTGCTCCTCGGGTAAACAAGTACTTCATGTTTTGGTTCCTTTAGTTTAGAAGGAGACTCCTGTTTTCTCAGCCTATTAGAAATTTCCAGAAAGGGATTACCATGTTTGGTTCATGGGTCAAAAGTGGGGTTCCACGAGCTTGGGAAAGACCTTGTACTAGAGGTATTTGTCTTGAGCCTGCTTTGAGCAGGATAGTGGGTTTTAAGACACTGTTTACAAAAGAATGCCAGACTGCAGAAGGTATGGGTCTGAGATTTGCACCAGGGTTGAGCACTTATTTGTCCTGAGGAATAGATACACACCCACCCACTGGATACATGAAGTTTCCAAGGCTACTGCTGATAAATACCAGCCCTATTCCCAGCATTCTGAGTCCCGTCTTGCTCCCCTGTAGCGGGGATGGACTCTATAAGAATTCGAGGTGAACTCTGCCAGTCTATTGAGTTCGGGGATGGGAGGAAAAGGCTCCATGGCCAAGGTGAGGCAGTGAGGCTCTTCCACAGATGTGAACGAGTGTCGGCGACCGCAGGAGAGGCGTGTCTGTCACCACACCTGCCATAACACTGTGGGCAGCTTCCTGTGCACCTGCAGACCTGGCTTCAGGCTTCGAGCTGACCGTGTGTCCTGTGAAGGTGAGCACCAGGCCCTGACCCTGCTCTCTAGACCTTAGCCCTGCCTTCTCAGCACAAGACCCTACCCCATAGATCTTGTCCCTGTTCCCCTGGCTCCAGGCCACACTTTAGATCTTGGTTTGCCCGTGTGGTACCAGGCCTCACCCCTAACCACAGGCCCCACCTCTGTGCCAGACCCCTTCTTTAATTTCCCCCCTTTTGTCCAGTCCTTTTGTCACTTCCAGTATCCCCACTTTCTTCCTTCATTTCTCTTTCCATTTTACATTTCTAAAATTTATTTACAAAAAGTTTTTATGCATATGAGTGTTTTGCCTGCTTATATGTGTGTGCCTGGTGCCTGTGGAGGTCAGAAGAGGGTGTCAGATCCCCTAACACTGTAGTTATAGCACCATATAGGTGCTGGGAACTGAACCTGAGTCCTCTGCAAGGGCAACCAGTGCCCTTAACCAGTGAGCCATCTCTCTATCCTGCTTTTTTTTTTTTTAATAAAAAGGTTGTTTATTTTATTTTATGTGGATTATGAGTGTTTTACCTGACAGTATGTATGTGTACCATGTGCTCTGGGAAGGTCAGAAGGGGGTGTCTGAGCTCCTGGGACTGGGGTTATGGATGGTTGTGAGTCACCATGTGGCTGCAGGAACTGAGCCTGGTCCTCTGCAAGAGAAGGCAGTGCTCTTAACCCCTGAGAAGGCTCTCCAGCGCCAAGACTTCTTTATCCAGTCCTTTCCTCTCTTCACTGCTCCCAGACATTGCACACAAACGGTAAAAAGAAAGAACAGAACAGAACCAAAACAAACCAATAATGATGAAGGAAGGTGTGACACAGGCCCTCAGGGATTCTCCATCCTCCTGGCAAGGGGATGCTCATCCGTAGGGAAAATTCCCTTTGAGCTTCCAAGTACATATGTGAGGGCAGGATCCTCCTCCCACAGTGGGGGCAGTCTGTTGTGACGCTGGAGAGAACCTGCCCTGACCCCTCATCCTGAGCCCGAGCCCCTGTAGGGAAGCCAGAGCTAGGTGGGAAGCAGGGCACACAGACCCCAGCCCCTAGCAGCTGGGGAGACTTGTTCCCAGGATGGACCCTGGAGGTCTAGTCTCAGGAAACTTGTGTTCCCTTTGTAGCTATTAAGAAAGGGAGCGCAGGCGAACCTTGGTGCTGTTGGACCCCTTGTCGCTGGCTTGGGATCTTTTCTTGCCCATTTGTGTTTTCCCTGCCTTCTTCCCTTGTGACTGTCGCCGTGACCTCAGCAGTTCACAGCTGGTTACATTATGTTGATGAGGAAACTGCTGGGCCAATCTAGGACCCCAGAACCCCACTTCCTGCCCCTGCTGCATCCCTCAGGAGACCCTGTGCTTCCATTTCAGCTTTCCCGAAGGCCATTCTGGCCCCATCTGCCATCCTGCAGCCCCGGCAGCACCCTGCTAAGATGTCCCTGCTCCTTCCCGAGGCAGGCCGGCCTGCCTTGTCCCCAGGACACAGCCCTCCCCCAGGGGCCCCAGGATACCCCACTGGAGTCAGAACAACCCATCAGCCATCTACCACCCTGGCCCTACCCACATTCTTTCCCACACAGTTGCTATCCACCCCAGGGCCAAGTTCCTCCCTCCTGGGGACCCTCGGACCCCCCTCACTCCTCCAGGGGGAGGCAGTAGGGACCCCTTCCTCACCCAGGGGCCCGGAAGGCACAAGGCTGGGAACAGGGCTCTCCTCCTGCCAGCACCAGGGAGCCACATATGAATCAGGGAGCCGCTGGAGCCAGCCTGGCTGTTCTCAGTGCTTGTGCCGGGTAGGTGTGAAGTTCCACGGGCTGCCCTGGTGGAGTGTCTGGGGTCTGACCGTGACTGCAACTCCAGCTTGTGTGTCCAGGATGGAGAGGTGACCTGTGGAAAAGTGAGGTGTAACACCACCTGTTCCCATCCGATCCCCCCGAGAGATGGGGGATGCTGCCCCTCTTGCACGGGTAAGAGCTGTTCGGGAGGGACCCAGCCCGGCTCTTTCTCTCCCTAGCCTCTTGAAGCCCAAGGGCTATTTATTATCCAACTTTCCCCACAATTGGATCTTGGAGTCACCTGGGAGGCCGATTCTGATTGGAGGTTTAGGGGTGGGTCTGAGAACCAACAAACTGCTGATCTGGAATCTCACTTTGAGAACCGCATGTCTATGCTGAAGTACTCTTCAAGGAGAACCATTCATCAGGCCACCCTTCTTGACCTGCCTCCCCTCCCTCCCTCCCTCCCTCCTTACTTCCCTTCCTCCTTGGTTCATTCCTTCCTTCCTTCCATGAGTCCACATCCATTCTGTTGTCCCTTCCCCTGCCCCACCTGCCCTTGGATTGCTGGAAGATAGTCATTTCGCCTTCCTCCCAGACCCAGGCTGGGGCTGGGGCTTAGTGCTCGCCTAGTATGTGTAAGGTAGGTCCTGATTCAAACTGCATCACCATAAAAACAATTTTTTCCCCAGAGTTTGGCAAAGAAGTGCCTGTATTGGTTGTCTTATAGGGCCCCGATGGAAAGAGCTGAGTTCTCTTTATAACCAAGATTGTGGATCCTTTTAGGTCTCTTGCTGGGGACAAAGTGATATTTATATTTTGTTTGTCAGTTTGTTTTTGTTTTTCGAGACAGGGTTTCTCTGTGTAGCTTTGCGCCTTTCCTGGAACTCACTCTGTAGAACAGGTTGGCCTCGAATTCAGAGATCCACCTGCTTCTGCCTCCCAAGTGCTGGGATTAAAGGTGTGCACCACCACTGCCTGGAGATATTTCCATTTTATGGTGAAAATAGCTGAGTTGCAGAGAGGCAAGGTGGCATAGGCAAGACTGCTTGGGTAAACGGAGCTAGAATTTCCCATTTGGAACCTAAGCTATCCTGTGTGATGGGAATGAAATGATGCTTTCTCAAGATGCGCTTGAATGAATACTTTCAGGGCCACTTGATCTTGCATGTGTCTCCCGTATTGTTTCCCAGAGGCGCTAGGACCACTCAGTTCAAGGAACCTATGTCTGCCACTGCTGGGGCATCCAGGGTGGTGAGAGGGGGTTCCAGAAATATTACTGAAAGGATGATAATCGGCGCTGGTGGCGGCGGGGAAAGGTCACAGTCACGACAGAACCCAGTATCAGTATTCAGAACTTTATTAGGAAGAAAAGGGGGGACGGGGGACCAGGCCTGGTGAGAGAGAAAGATGGTGGGGTGGGGGAAGAGGGGAACAGAGCAGAGCAGGGAGCAGAGAAAGAGCGTGGGGTCTGCAGCCGGCTTTTTTTTTTTTTAAGCCACATTTTATTTTATTTAAATTTATTTTAACTTTATTTTATATGCATTGGTGTGAAGGTGTCAGATTCTGGAGATCTGAATTTACAGACAGTTGTGAGCTGCCATGTGGGTGCTGGGAATTGAACCCGGGTCTTCTGGAAGAGCAGCCAGTGCTCTTAACCATTGAGCCATCTCTCCAGCCCCTGCAGCCAGCTTTTTAAGGCACATACATAGGTAGTCAACACTGATGATGTAAGACGCAAGACCCCGAACTGTGCATGTGCAGGAGTGAGAGCAGGATCCTAACAATTACCTGGAAAAGTAGAGACCTCGGTTTCCTCTTCTTTGAGGAGGCTGATGTCCCCATCTCATTTGTCTTTCTAAGGCTGCTTTCACAGTGGTGCCATCCGAGAAGAAGGGGATGTGTTTTCCCCTCCTGAGGAGAACTGCACTGTGTGCGTCTGTCTGGTGAGCAACCTGAGATCCCCACTGGCTGTTTTCTTAGCCTTTGAGTGTTGTCAAGGCGGGGGTAGGGGGGGTGGGGGGGAATGGGGGGTGGTACATACTGGATGTTGAAGGGAGCTTGCTTCAGGGCTTTGGGTCTAAACAGCTTGAGAGGGTCATAGAAGCATCCGAGCTCTGGCCAACGGACTTGGGAGGCTGTGTATGCTGTGCATGAGAGAGCCAGGGCAGAACAGGGTCCACCTGTTTGGGAAGGGGAGGGGTGGAACTGTCTCAGGAACTTCACCAGGGAAGTTTTCTCTTTTCTTTTCTTTCTTTCTTTCTTTTTTTGGTTTTTCGAGACAAGGTTTCTCTGTAGCTTTGGAGCCTGTCCTAGACTAGCTCTGTAGACCAGACTGGCCTTGAACTCAGAGATCCACCTGCCTCTGCCTCCTGAGTGCTGGGATTACAGGCGTGTGCCACCACTGCCCGGCGGGAAGTTTTCTCCAGGCAAAATATTTATTACCACAACAAAGGTGTCCATGTAGGGGAGAGCAGCCTCACTAAGCTCCCTGGCCCTCTTAAGAGTATTTCTGCTTCTGGCAAGTTCACTCCTCAAAGAGTAATCACAAGCATTTACTGTGCCAGATGCTGCCTGTATGCATTTGATTTTGAACACCCACTGTATGTCAGGTACAGGCTTGGTGCCCTTCCTCTGTTCCCTAACCCGAGGCTCCCAGCCAATACTGTCCCTGATCTACAGATTCAAAGATGGAGGCTGGGAGCTGGTGGAGCTGAGGTTTGAACTGAGGTCTATTACAGGCTTTGTCTACCAGTTCTTGCTGCCACCCTCTGTCCATCTTTAAACATAGCTGGCCACAATGGTGGATAGGGTGGTGTATGATCAGGGACACACAGAATACCAGTAGCATTCATCTGGCTCTTCCTGTATGCTAAGCATGCAGAGACTAGGAACTTGTGTGCATTCTCCCATTTTTATGTAGTGAGACCCATGGTAGAAGCTCCTGGAGATGTGATATCCTTTGCCTAAAATCTTTGGGGCTACCAACCAGCTCCCAAATCATGACACAGAGACTTATTAGTTATGAAAGCTCAGCCTTACCTTAGGTTCGTTTCTTGCTAGCTCTTATAATTTAAATTAACCTGTTTCTTTTCGTCTATGTTTTGCCTTGGGACTTTTATCTTTTTTTTCATTCTGTATTTCTTACTCCATGTCTTGCTGGCTGTCTTCTCTCTCTTCCCCATTCTCTCTCAGCCCAAATTCTTCCTCCTGTTCCCCCTGCCTGCCTTCCCCGTCTGTCCCTCTTCCGCCTAGCTATTGGCTATTCAGCTTTTTATTAGACCAATCATGTGCCTTACTTAGGCAGGCAAGGTAAAACAGCAGCATATCTTTACATAGTTAAATGCAGTATAAACAAATGTAACACATCTGTACATAGTTAAACAAATGGGGCATAAACAAATGTAGCACATCTTTGCCTAGTTAAAGTAATATTCCACAACATAAACAAATATAACACATCTTTACATAGTCAAATTAATATTCTGCAACAGACATAGACAGTGGAACTCAGGTCTAGATGACCCTGATGTTGGAGAGTTGTTTTTTTTTTTTTCAATTTTAATTTCAAAAATTGTTTTTAAAGATGTATTTTGTGTCGGGTATGGTGGCATGTCTTTAATCCTAGTACTTGAGAGGCAGAAGCAGGCGGATCTCTGTGAGCTTGAGGCCATCATGGTCTACATGTTGAGTTCCAAGACAGGACAGCTTGGGCTGTGAGATTCTCTCTCAAAAAAAAGTACTTTATTATTTTGACTTTTTAATTATTTATTTAAAAATTTTATTTATGGGCTGGAGAGATGGCTCAGTGGTTAAGAGCACCAGCTGCTCTTTCAGAGGACCCAGATTTGATTTCCAGCATCTACATGACAGCTCACAGACTTGTCCTGTAACTCCAGTTCAAGAGGATCTGGCACCTGGCAGAGACATACATGCAGGCAAAAAAAAAAAAAAAAAAAAAAAAAAAAAAAAAAAAAAAAGATTTATTTTATATATTTTCCTGTGTATGAGTGTTTTGGTTGCATATGTGTCTATGCCTGGTGCCCTTGGTGCCTGGTGCCCTTGGAGGCTAGAAGAAAGAGTGTCAAATCCCCTGGGATTGGAGTTACAGATGGTTGTGAGATGCCCTGGGGGTGCTGGGAACTGAACCTGGTTCTTCTGCAGGAGCAAGCAGTGCTCTCAGCCACTGAGCCATTTCCCCAACTCCATCATTATTGTGTATGTGTGCAGGGGTGTTCACAGAGGCCAGAATAAGGTATCAGATCTCTTGCAGCTAGAGTTAAGTGCTATTGTGAGCTGCCTGATGTGAGTTCTGGGAACCAAACGCCTGTTCCTTTGAAGAGTAGAAAGTGTTTTTAACCACAGAGCCATCTCTCCAGCTCCAGCTCCTAACTTGAAAATTATCTATCTATCTATCTATCTATCTATCTATCTATCTATCTATCTATCTATCTATCTATCTATCTCTATCTATCTATCTATCTATCTATCTATCTATATCTATCTACCTATCTGTCATCTATCTATCTATCTATCTATCTATCTATCTATCTATCTATCTATCTATCTATCTATCTATCTTTATGAAAAAGAAAAGTCTTCAAGTAGCCCTTGATGGCCTAAAACTTGCAATGTAGACCAGGCTAGCCTCAGACTCATGGAGATCTGCCTGCTTCTGCCTCCCAGGTGCTGGGATTAAAGGTGTGGTTGACAGAGAACCTGGGCCCTACCCTTGTCCCCACTACTATCCTTTGCTTCCTCAGGCTGGAAATGTGTCTTGTATCTCCCCGGAGTGTCCCCCTGGTCCCTGCAAGGACTCCCCCACAGTCAGATTGCTGTACTTGTGTGCCAGGTAGGTGACTCTTCGGAATTTCTTGTTGTTCGGGGTGTGGGGTGGCAAGTGCCTTTGGATTGTGTATTGGGCCAGGAAAGGGTACTCCTGCTTTAAAAGGGCAGGTTCAATGATATAACTCAACAACTCATTTTTAATGACTGTTTCCTATGTGCACCTTGGCCAGACTAGGCTCATGGCTTGGCCCTTCCCCTGTCCCTTCCTTTAGGACACATCTTTTTTTTTTGTTGTTTGTTTGTTTGTTTGTTTTTTGTTTTTTGTTTTTCGAGACAGGGTTTCTCTGTGTAGCTTTGCGCCTCTCCTGGAACTCACTTGGTAGCCCAGGCTGGCCTCGAACTCACAGAGATCCACCTGGCTCTGCCTCCCGAGTGCTGGGATTAAAGGTGTGCGCCACCACTGCCTGGCAGGACACATCTTGAGTGTAGGCAGAAGGGGCTATGAGCCCATTTTTGGCAAGGATCTGCCCCTGGGTATGGAGGAATCTCTTTTAACCCACTGTGACATAAGAACATGGTTTCCTATGACTTAGAAAACCCAGGCCTTTCAGGAACCAAGGCAAGCAGGCCCTATGCGGCTAAGGCTGCTGCAGGGAGAAGCACCCAGATCAGTCCCTCACTCGTAGCCCTTACCCCCATCACACGGTTGCTCACTAACTAAGCCTGCCATCTTGTGGGGTGAGACATGCCCCTCTCCTGAAAATGGACACCTCTCTTTTTCCTAGCAGAACTTAGTCTCTCTTGGACTACACTGCACAGGGGCTGCTTGTTTGCCTGTGACGTTCGTAGTCCCCTAAAAAAGCTCTCACTTGAAGGACAACTTGTCTTAACCCCCCCCTAAAGGCCAGCCTGTCTTAACATATCCCCCTAGCTCCCATATACTTTATCTACTTCCTTCTCTGTTTCCCAAGTTAAGTCTAACAATGACCTCATCAGCGAGAGGGGATGTTCCCCACCAGCATGTTGTCCCGAGCTATTTGGGGTACCTGCCATCTCTTGGTCCTGTTGAGTCCTTGAGTTGTTACAATGAGAGGATACCGCTCACTGCTCCCTTTTAATGAAAAAGCAAGTTCAGAGAGGTCAAGTCACTGTCTAGAGACACACAGCAGTTAGTGATGGGACTGAACTTCAACTGAAATCGTCCTGATTTCAGAGCTGGCATTCTTTTAAAACATCATCTTGGGCAGTGGGATGGCTTAACTGGTAAAGGTGCCTAATAACCCGGGTTTGGTCCCTGGAACCCGCCTGGTAGGAGGGAACGGACCTCTGCAAGTTGACCTTTCATCTCTACATCATGCCCTTCCCCCAGTTAATAAATGTAATTAAAAATTTAAATTTTTTTTCATAGTACTAGAGATGAGCCTGGGGAGCTGTGCAAGCTAGACGAGTGCTTTCTCACCGAGCTGCATCCCCAGCCCGTTTTCTACTTCTTATTTTGAGAGAGGACCTCATTAGGTTCCCTGGATGGCCCAGGACTCCCTCTAGAACCCAGTCAGGCCCTGAGAGTTCCTCTGCTTGCCTCAGCCTCCCATGCAGCTGAGGATACAGGCTGTGCCATCAGGCCGGGCATACAGTTTTTTTCTAACTTAAGACATTTTGTTGTTGTTATTATTTTTGTCTTGTTATTTATTTTGAGACAGGGTCTCACTATGTATCCTTGGCTGTCCTGGAACTAACTATGTAGACCAGGCTGGTCTCCAACTCATAGAGCTCTGCCTGCCTCTGCCTCCCGAGTGCCGGGACTAAAGGCGTGCGCCACCATGTCTGACTTGGTTTTTTTTGTTTTTTGTTTTTGTTGTTTTTTGGGTTTTTTTTTTCTTCGAGACAGGGTTTCTCTGTGTAGCTTTGCGCCTTTCCTGGATCTTGCTCTGTAGCCCAGGCCTGGCCTCAAACTCACAGAGATCCGCCTGGCTCTGCCTCCCAAGTGCTGGGATTAAAGGTGTGCACCACCGCCGCCCAACTGGTTTTTTTTTGTTTGTTTGTTTGAAGTTCTTTTTGCACAGTTAGTGTGAACTCTGTGAGGTGGGAACTGTCATTCCATTGCACAGTGAAGGGGCAGTAGCTTCAAGAGAGTCCTATTTTTTGCTCTAAGTCAGCTCTGTGATGTTGACCTGGGACTTGAACCCCCAGGCAACCTGAATGAATATACACTTTGCCAGGCTTTGGGGCTGGTGTTACCCTGGGGAGGATCTTCAGATGTTCTTTGTCCATCTTCTGACACAGCTCCTCCTGAGTTTCTTACTGTGTCGCTGTTTGGGCTCCTGCTGCCTCTGGGGTAATGACCCTCATTTGTGGGTTTTTAGGTAGTAACTTGTGTGAGGGTCTGGGATTTGGAGGCTGAGAAGCACTCTGAGTTTCTGGCAAGGGGCAGCTGCCCTGCTCCTCCCTGCCCATCCGTCTACTCTTCTAGCTGCTCAATCCAGAAAGCCCTTCTTCTGCCCTTGCCTCCTGCAGGGAGATGCTATTTCCATGGCCGATGGTACACGGACGGGGCTGTGTTCAGTGGAGGTGGTGACGACTGTACTACCTGTGTCTGCCAGGTAGGCTGTGAGGTTCCTGCACCTGTTGACCCAGTGGAAGATGGGAAGGAAGTTGGGTGGGCAGCATAGGAATTACCCAAGATGCTTTGCCATGGAGACGATAACCTGCCATGCATCGAAAGGAAGAGACTGAGGCAGTAGTCCCTGTAGGAGTCTTCCGTGCCTTACAACAGTCTCTATGAAGCCAGTCCTTCTTCAGTATTGGTAGAGCACTTGCTATGATCTGGGGACACACACCCTCAGCCCAGAAGAGTGCCAGCCTCCTCTGACTGGCAGCTTATAGCCTAGGTGGGCATGCCAAGCCTATAGCTTGGCACAGGATCCTCAAACCTTCTGGGAGGAGAGAGGGACAGTGGAGACCTGAGGGGTGACCAGGACTAGTCAGGTGAGGTGCTGAGGGTGCTGTACCTTCTGGTTGGAGCAGAAGCAGGTGGGCTTTCAGATGTGTCTTCCGGCTGGAAGCAGGCTGGGCGATGTGGTCTTTATACGGTAGTTTCTCAGCTGGTGAGTGCCCTCAGGAGAAATGGGCCAGGGAAGTAGTAGAGGGCAGAGTGGATTCTGGGAAGACCTCTTCGACCCATCCCATGGGCAGCTCTGCACCGTGGATGGTGCTGCAGAGATGCCAGAGGAGGGAGCTGGGCTCTCACAGCTGTGCATCGGACATGCCCGTGCATAGGAGGCCAAGCACCCTCTCTGTCTCAGGAGGATGTCTGTGTCGGATGGGTGGGAAAGGCTCCCGGACAGCAGAAACAGGACTGGGCTGAGCCGCTAAAGCTTGGAGTGGTGGGGTGGCATGATGAGGTTGACATCTGGGAGAGTTTCCTAGCTATGGAGCTGAGTAGATTAGAGGGGTGGGAGTGGGTGGGAGTGGGAGGGCAGTAGGAGGGAGTCTCGATGGGAACTAGGGTGAAGAGGGAGGATGAGAGATGGTAGAGACTCACCTAGGGCAGGAGGAACACCGCAGGACCTTCCTTTAGCTCCCTAAGGACTCACCCTTCTCTGCTCCTGCTTCCCTGGACATTCACTTTTACTGGAGGGTCTGGAGGAGTGGCTGCTCACCAGCCTTCTCTTTAGCCCTATAGTGGCCCAGGCTGGGAGCCACCGTCACTGCTGTGTGCTTTTGTCTGTCTTCCAGAACGGGGAGGTAGGAGTGCTCCTTTACACCATGTCCAGAACTAGAGTGCCCTCGGGAGGAGTGGTGGCTGGGCCCAGGACAGTGCTGCTTTACCTGTTGGGAGCCTACACCCACCACAGGTGAGATCTGGCTGCCTGGCCCCCAACACAGGGCTCAAGTGCACAGGGGGGAGGCTGGGCTTCCCTCACTTGGACTGATGGTATGTGTGTGTGTGTTAGTGGTATGAACACGTGTGTTTTATAAAGCGTTGTGTGTGAGCTGTGACTTTGGAAGTGTGTACGTTTGTGTGTGAGTATGCTAATGAGTGTACCTGTAAGTATGTATAGTTGGATATGCCTTTTAAGTGTTGGTGTGTGAATGGCATCTGTATATGAATATATCTGGAGTTTTATATGATATACCTGTGAATGCACATCTGTGTGTGTTTGTACAGTTTCCCTACGATGTGTGTGTAATTTGATGTATATGTTTTGTGCCAGTTGAACAGTCTGTGTTTGGATTGTGTAAGTGTGTGTGACCCTGTTGTCTCTGAGGGTGTCTGTTTGTGAGTGTGCCAGTGTGTATGATGTATGCGTGTATGCATTTGCAAATATACATTTGTATTTTGTGTATGTCTGTGGGTTGTGTTTTGTCAGTATAAGTTTGTGGGTCCCTAAGTGTGTGGCTGAGTATGAGGCCATCATTTTGGAAATGTATGTGTTTGTCTGTGTGATATGGTTTATGTAAAAATTTGCATATCTATTAAGCAAACATTTGTGTATATGGTTTGTGTGGGTGTGTATGTCTGTGAGCATGGGATTTCATCTTTAGAAGGGTGGTACTGTAGTTCTGGGGAGCATTCCTGCCTGCTGTGTTTTGTCTTTTGTCTGTTTTGGGGGTGTTGTGGGTCCATTGAGTATGCCTTATGACTGAGCTCCATCGCTGGCTCTCTGCCAAGTGTCTTTTCCCTTTGGTACCTCTCCTGCCAGGCTGCTCTCTAGATGACAACGGGGTTGAGTTTCCAATTGGACAGATCTGGTCGCCTGGTGATCCCTGTGAGTTATGCATCTGCCAGGTGAATGACAACCTGCTCGCCTTCAGCTGCTTTACCTGGCCTGTCCCTCTGCCTCCCCGAGAGAGGCAGGGCCACTGCCAGCCTGGCCTTAGACTCCCTCCTAGGCAGGTTGGGACTCACTTGTTCTGCTTTCAGTGGATGGTTGAGGGCAGTAGAGCTTGGCGGCTGCCTTAGATGCTGTGGGGTGACCCTGCTTGGGCAGGGAGCTGCTGCTGTGAGGGTCTGCCTCAGGGGCCTCAGAGAGGATGGCTGGGGTACCATTTCTGTGTCAGGATGTTTTATCTTGACCTGCACCTCTGTCATAGCTAAGTAAGAGTGTGCATTTGAAAGTCAAACATGACTGTTTATTAAGAAACTGCACAAGGGGCTTCCCTTTCCATTCTGAGTGCTTTGGGTTCCTGGGGGCTTTATTCCTCTAAATAAAGCAGGGTGGGGTGTGGGTATCATTAGGGAGCCCTGTCAGTCCTGCAGGGTCTCCAGGCCCCACATCTTAATTTCCAGATGACTGTTTAGGATGCTTCATAACATGCCAGCTTGAGCGTGTTTTCTGGAGGTAGAAGGAAGAGTAAAATCCACTTTCTGCTGAGGCTCTCCTTCATGACTGCTCCTGGCACTCATTTTACAAGAGAGTAAAATAAGAGGCCATAAATGTTCAAATTCTTAAGAGGAGAGGGGGAGAAAGAGAGAAAGGGAAGAATCCTCGTATGGCATTTTGGTCTTCTGAAATAGGCATTTCCGGTGGAATAGTTTTCTATAAAAATAGGATTTTATTGTTCTCTATAGGTTGGGGGTGAGCCAGGGTTCCAGGGAAATGCTGAGAAGAATGTGGAGGGGGTGATGGTATGGCGTCAGCTGCTGCTGATGGATAGGATAGGAAGCAGAGGGGACAGAATCCCAGCTCTGACTTCCCTCTCTTGAGATAGGCAAAACCTTCCTGAAGATTCGTTCACCTGTGCTAAGCAGCTGGTCCTCATTGGCATGGGGGAAGGGTGGGGAGGACCCACCATTCCCCAGCCTCATCCTGGCATCCTGAGGGCAAGCCACGGACAGTGGGTGGCATTGTCTTTCCTTTGGTGTGGGGAAGCAGGCCCTGCTGTCTCAAGTCTTGGTGAAGTTCCTTCTTCCTTCAGGCAAATGGCTCTGTGAGCTGCCACAGGACAGGACTGCGTGGACTCTTGCCCTCACCCCATCCGGATTCCTGGACAGTGTTTGTCCTGACTGTTCAGCAGGTAACCCTGGCGAGGGCCCAACCTCACCCTCTACAGCAATTCTCAGGGCTCCTGGAGGCCCTGCTGGCCTTGTCTCAGGCCCCTCCTTACTGAGCACCATGGGAACCTCAGCTCCCTCCCTCTCCCAGAAACCTGCGTGGCACCCACAGCTCAGAGAAGTGAAGTGGCTTGTCTAAGGCCAGGCCTCCATGCTGGACTCGCATATCCAAATTCCCAGCTTACAGTCCTCGTGGGGCTGGCATAGGAACCAGACCTGGAAAACTGGGCCAGTGAGAGAAAACACAAATAAGGCTAGATTTTTTTTCACAGAAATTTTGACCTTTTCCACTATTTCAAAATTAAATTTGTCATAGAAAAGCTATAAAGCAAGGCTACATTAAAAAGGCCCATGTACCACTGTCGGCCCTGGTGGTTATGTATTTCTAGTCCCTGTTTGTGATGTGTGCACCTTTTGATAGATGTGTGGTATGCGTGTTTTGTTCTTTTAAAAAAAACTCCCCCTAAGAGCTGGGCTTGTTGGCACATGCCTGGAGCCCCAGTACTTGGAGAGAGGCAGGAGGATCAAGCCTGGGCTGGGATAGCAAGAGTCTGTCTCAAACAATAAGATAAAATAAGCCATGTTCTGTTGGAGGGTATAGTTCAGTGGGAAAGGGCTTGCTTAGAGTACGGGAGACTCTGGGCTCCATCCCTGCACTCCAAGTACAGACAAACAAACAACAACAAAACAGATGAAATAAAAATGAAAATATTTTCTTACTGTTTCACTTGCTTTTATTTATATATATATGCAATTATATATATTGTATTTATATATTAAATAGATGTACTTGTATTTATATAATCTGTTATAATTGTAATAATATATATAATTGTATATTACACATAAATATATATAATTAAACACACACCACACACACACACACATATCTATTACACTTTTTTTCATTTGAGTCAGGTCTCACTATGTAACCTATCTTGACCTAGAATTTGCTTTTTAGCCCAGGCTGCTCTGGAATTCCATGTTCCTGCCTCAGCTCCTGACTATTGGAATTCACAGGCTTGGTGCTACCATGTGCTTTAGTACTTACCAGTATATGAACAATTTCATCCAAGTGGCCTTGTGCACTTGGAGTCCTTTGGAGACATCAGGAATGCGGGGATATGGGGGGACTGGTTTGGAGAGGTGGAATTTTTGTCATTTGACTCTGGAGAGGGACAGAAACCTTGTGTGTCTTCAGCACCACCTTGAGTCTCATGAGTCATCTGCCTGTCCCACCCCAAGTTCCTCAGTGACACCCCACCTCCGTTATGAAGACATTGAAGCAAGATTCTGTAATGTCCTCCTTTCTTATCCAGACATAGAAAGCAGCCAGGACCCATTCCAAGGATGCTTATTGCTTGCCTAACCTCTGGGGAGGTGCTGGGCCTGACCCTTGCTATTCAGATAAACTTCCAACCTTTGCCCTGGCCAGGCACCTGGCCACTCTTCACCCTTCTGGCTGCTGCTCACCACGTGCTCTGTTTGGCAGGCTGCACCTACACAGGTAGAATCTTCTACAACAACGAGACCTTCCCATCAGTGCTGGACCCCTGTCTGAGCTGCATCTGTCTGGTATGCACCACCCAATCGGACCCAACCCCCAGCATCAGCTCCTGACCCCAGAGAAGGCTCACTGTTGGTCCTGGTGAAAGCCATCTTCCCACAGCCTGTCTAGCATGATTCTTTAGCTAGGGTCAGGGAATCATTTAAAAACTCTGGCTGGTCCAGTATTCTTGCTTTCTGGTTGCCAAACTCAGTGAATCTCATCATTTCTTCATGAGAGAACCAGACTCCAGAGACGAAGTCATTTGCTCATGATTTCATGACTAGTCGAAGGGCCAGGCACTGAACCTTAGTATACACACTCCTGGATCACACTTACACCCCAGAGCCAGGCAGCCCACTGCCCGTTCTAAAAAACCTGTTAGGTTAGTGCACACTCAATTTTCATGTTTGGAGAATGAAGGACAAAAGTCCCATCGCTTATCTTGCTGATAAGTTAATGCTTGGCTAGAGCTGCTGTGTACCGTGGCAGTGTGTCTGTTGGGTGTCAGTGAGCCTCAGCCCTGGTTATATGTGAAAAGGGACAAGGTCAACACATGGATTGGGAAACGCAGGGTAAATGTCTCTGTGGCCTCTGAGGAACCCGCTGCCCACTGTCCCTGTACATTCTCAGCCATATGCTTTGGGAAATGTTGCTTCTTGGTCCTTTCTCTGAGTTTCTTTGTTTTTGTTACAAATGCTGCAGATGGAACCAGGGCAGGCACTTTACCACTGAGCCACATCCCAGCTCTCTTTCGTTTTTTTTTCTGCTGAGCTTTCCTGGATAATTCTGCATTTTTTTCAATGGGTCGCTATTGTCAGGTGACCTCATGGATGAAGTCAGGACTTGTTCTTGAGAAGTTAGGAAGGACCCTAGTTGAGAAAATGTCACCCCTTAACCCCCATCCCTACCATGGATGGCCAGTGTGGCTGCCTAGATGCATCTGCCATTGCTGGGAGCCCTGGGCTTTCCCTAGCATTATATTAGCTGTCCCCAGTGAGGGGCCATGTGTGTCCTGTGTTCTACAGCTGGGCTCGGTGGCCTGTTCACCTGTGGACTGTCCCATCACCTGTACCTACCCCTTCCACCCGGATGGAGAGTGCTGTCCTGTGTGCCATGGTGAGTGGGAAAAGCCACCCATACACAAGTCTCCCAGGTGACCTGGATCTCATCATCCTGTCTTCTCTGACTCTGCAGACTGTAACTTTGAAGGGAGAAAGGTAGTGAATGGTCAGGTGTTCACCTTGGATGACGAGCCCTGTACCCGGTGCATCTGCCAGGTGAGGCCTGAGGGTCTGGGGCTGCCAGCCAGGCCTCCACGCCATACACGGGGCCCCGAGCTAATCTGTCCATCCTGCTGTTCACTTTCACCTTTGCCTCTGGACACCCATCCCTCTTGGAAGTCCAGATGAAGGTGTCTTGCCATGGTTGGCATTACCTGTCATCCTAGACCAGGGCACAGGCTTTTCGACCTCTACCCAACACTTTTCTGTGTGTCCCACTACTGGAACAAGAGGCCCTGGAGAGCTCTGCTCCAGGCGAACAGGGTACTCTGGGCTTCCTCACGATGTCTTTCTGCTTCTTCAGCTGGGAGAGGTGAGCTGCGAAAAGGTCCCTTGCCAGCCGGTCTGTACTGATCCCTCCTGCCCAGGTAAGCAGGCCCTGAGCCTAAGCTTTCTCCACCATCTTCCACTGCAAAACTTCTCAGAGACATAGGCCTTAGAAAGGGCTGCCCAGGTGACCCGGGCTCAGACAGCATGCTCAAGGTCACACAGTTATGGCAGGCTGATGCTTCTGGGCTACTTACTACGAAATACCAAATGCCACAATGTGTTGTATTGCCCCCCCCCCCCTTTTTTTTGGCCTGTGTGTGGTGCTATGGATCAAGTTCAGAGTCCTCTGCAGGCAAGGCTAGTGCTGTGCCTCAAGCCATCCCATCCCAGCCTCACCCCTTTTTTGAGACAGGAGTTTTACGTTGCCAGGCTGGCCTTAAGTTCTTGGATTTAAGGAACCTCCTGCTTCAGCCTTGTGAGTGCTGAGACTACAGTCATGGCCACCAGACTCGGCTAGTCCACGTGGCTCTTGATTGCACAGTTACAAACAGGACACAGTGCTCTGTTCTACAGCTCTGAAGTCTTGACGTGGCCCGCAGCTGGCTGCTTAAGAAAGATCCCCTTATCCGTGAGACTTCAAATGATATCTGAAGCTGTGGATGGAATTAAACCCTACATGAGAGCACTGTAAACAGGGAGGTCCCTAAGTGACTGACCGACTGACGGGTAGCCCAGACAGTGTGGCACACTGAACAGAGAAGGTCCCTAAGTGACTGACCGACTGACGGGTAGCACAGACAGTGTGGGCACACTGGACAGAGAGGTCCCTAAGTGACTGACTGACTGACGGGTAGCCCAGACAGTGTGGACACACTGGACAGAGAGGTCCCTAAGTGACTGACCGACTGACGGGTAGCACAGACAGTGTGGGCACACTGGACAGAGAGGTCCCTAAGTGACTGACCGACTGACGGGTAGCCCAGACAGTGTGGACACACTGGACAGAGAGGTCCCTAAGTGACTGACTGACTGACGGGTAGCCCAGACAGTGTGGGCACACTGGACAAAGCGTAAGTTACAGCCTGGGCAAGACAGGTGGGATACTGTAGATCATCATGCTACTAATAAGACACACGATTGCTTCTGAAAATTTTATGTACTATTTAAGGACAGCAATTGATCACGATAACTTAAGTGTCAGAGAAGAACACTTTGGATAAGGGGGAACTGCTGTATTCTCTTGAGCTGTTTTCCTACCTCCTACCTTCCCAGCTCATTGAGTTCCCTCCCTCCTTCCCTCCCTCTCGCCCTCCCCCCCTTCTTTCATGTATACCTATTTCTCTGGGCCTCCTTTCTTCCCTCTCTCCATGTCTCTTCCTTCCTTCCATACACCTGTAATATACCTCCTGTGAAAATACTGGGTCAACATTTGTATTCAAATCTTGTGGGTTGTGTCAGGACCGTGTGGTTGACAATGGGGGCAACTGAGTCAGGAGTAGATCGGGGTCTCCCACAACACATTTCCATATCCTGGTCCTGAAGAAGCTTCGAGGAAGCACAATGATGCAGATGGTTCCCATAGTCTCCAAAACTGTTGAGAATTTTAATTTTTCCAGTTTACTCTATGCAGAGATGTGTCTTCTTTACGTACTTTCAACTTCTAGAATGATGGTGTGCTTTTTTCCCCACTGTCCTGTGGATGACATTGCTTCCTGGGAAATGTCTGTTTCATATCTTTGACCTCCCAAAGGCATGCCAGGATGTGGTCTGCTTCAGGGAGGTTTATGACTGGGAATAGTGCCGGGGACCACCGGGGACTTGGATCATGCTTCCTTTTACCCACCACATGCTCTTCTACAGTGGCTAGG